CATTAATTAAAGATGATAATTTAACAAAAAAAATTATATCAATTAGTCTTGAAAGACTTTTAATAGTTGGTTAATATTCTAAAAATGATATATGGCGTTTATATGAAAGTTCGATAAGAATAATACATCAATCACCATCGTTCAATATTGATCATTTTGTTTTAATATTTTCAAGTATTTATACATTATTACAATGACCAAATGAAAATATAAATTCACTAAATAATAAATATGTTAATAAAGAACAAGATATGATTGCTAGTTCATCAATAATATTATCATTATATAATATTCTTATTGAACTTGTTGCCCATATGAAGCTTTACTTTTATTACGTCCATTACTATTATTACTTGCACATATTGGTTTATCGGATCATTTAATGAATAAAATAGTTTTAGAATTTGCTACATAAACACAACAATTATATCCTCAAATACTTCCATATAGAGTTTTTGCTTTTTTTTTTTCGTGCTTTAATTAATGCATATTATTCAGCTACAATTAATGAATGGACTTAATTATCAATGACAAATATTGCACAAAGAAAATCAATATGTATGGCTATAATGGGGATTAACTTGTCTTATGTTAAGTGCATGCCCATCACATAGAATTGCTGATTCATTGTAACTATTTACTTAAATCATGTATTCTTGCTGATTTTTTTCCTTAGCTGTTCTTTATATTCATCTTTAAAGAAAAGAAAAATTTGTATTAAAATTTCATACTGATGATCTAATATTGTGCGAGTTTTTCTGAATTTATTCTTATGAGTAAAATAGAGTGAAGTTGTATTTGGACTGTTGTATGAGCTATTCTTTTCCACCTGTATTTAAATATTCTTCCTAGTTTTCTTTTTAAAAATTATCAAGACTTACACATACGATTAAAATTTATTTGGAAAAGATAAATAGTAAAACATTAATGAAAAACAAAAACTCTTTGTTGCAATTGCGAAGGAATGACGATCAATAGAAAATCAATAAATTTCGCCATGAAATGTCAAAATGAATTCGATTTAGATAATATGGTATATCTTTTACTTTTTTAGGTTTTCAATGACATTATCATGTTTCAGTGCTCGTTTTGAAGAATTAGATAATCATTTATTTCTTATTGCTGGTCGAGAATATTATCTGCAAGTATTATAAAAGAGACAAAAGAAAATCTCCAAATATTAATTGTATCAAAAAAAAATCTATTTTACTTATTTTAATTAACGAATATCGAACAACGACGTCAATTTGAACAAGCATTCATAAATGAATCGAATACAGAAAAATTATATGCTCATTTACTTGCACACATTCAAAATACGATCTTATCATCGTTTTGAGTCTTGGCGTGGGTGTAGATGTTGTTTGGATGTGTTGATGGATCAGAATAGATTGTCATTAAATGTTAGCTACATATACTAATACGAAATAGGTTAAGTAAAATATCTCTAGTGAACATTATTGTTGTTTGCAAAAGATAATCAATTTCCACGAAAACTATCAGTCTCATTTATTTTGTGCATTTATTCTCTAGTTTCTGTTTAGCTTGTTGATTTCTATTTGATATTGTGTGTTTTATTATGATTTCAATCATTGATTTAACTAGTAAATAAGTCGATTACATCTATCCATTAAAGTTAGAATAGGAACAGTTCACCTTTTCTATATGGATCCCATAACAACTACATACTACTTAAAATATTCACAAACATATTTCAGCTATTAAAGTTTTAAGGAAGGCTTTTAAATGTTTTAGAATAGTTTAGATCTGGTTGATGATGTCATTCAGTGCACTTTTCTCTTGCCATTCTTCCTCCTTTTACTAGAAAAACCATGCTTATTGATCTCTAACCTTTAAACCATGTCGCTGGGGTCTAAGAGATAGATGTTGATATTCTGTTTGACCATATCCACACTCTTTGAATCATTTTGGTTTCGTACATTATATGTAAAAGCATCTACCATACTTCATCTTATTGCACTGTTTTCAGAAAATCCATTGAAAATGATAAAAATTCAAAAAGTCTTGCACTATAATAGAAAAAAAATTGAATATTTTAATGTAAAAAGCAATTCATCATTATTTTTAGTCATCATTATTATTATAATTTTTATGCAGAAAAAAAATTGTTCATTTTTTTAAATAGAAACATTCTCAAACTCCTGGCTGTCATCAGCAAAGTTGTCTATATATGCATCGTTCATCTCACTTTCATATATTAGAAACTATGAACATCAGTGTCTTCTTGTTAGACGACAGTCTGATTATCGCTTGACAATATTTAACGATAACTATCAAAAAGGGAATCAAACCAACTTCCACAAGTTCGAGTACAATTCGGCGTCTGACAGGCGTCGTATTGTTCTGTAAAGTTATTTTAGATTTTAAATTTCCGAGAATTTATTTATGAAAATCATAAACTTTGGTAAGTTAAAACTCAACAATACAAACATCAAAATACATGACTTCAGAAAAAATAGATCATAAATAACGAAAATTCGATCATCACTATAGAATATTCTTTAAGAAAATGGTCGCACCGTGTTCCTGTTACATTCTAAAGATACTAAAATACAGTAGGGGTCAAAAGTGTGGTAGGACTTTTTTGTTTGAGTCATGTATTAAAACTACACAACATTAATTTAATTCAATTATATATTTGGATAGTAGAGATTAAGTACTATATGTATAGACCTGTTCAATTCGAAAAATCCTTGAATATGAAATACAATAAGAAAAACAAACTTGAATGCTAAGAAAAAAATTACATGAAAAAAGACAAAATCATATTGTTGTTATAGGATACTTCCATAGGCAGTCAACCATAAAACACTCAAAGTATTGAGAAAAAGTTTTATATTAACGGACTTTCTAGAGCTTTTTTCGCGGATCATTTTGAAAAGAAAATATTTTAGATTTCATTGAGAAATGACGGTATTATAGGCAANGCAGTTATGTAGTACCACATATGTACAACAATCTACCAAAGTTTCAGCGAATTTGCTTTTGTAGAATGCGAGAACGGTGAATTCTTAAAATCGTTTCAGAATATCTGGAACACCCTTTATAATAATTATTATTAAATTTACAGCTTGTCAACATTGTTGTTGATATCTGTTCTGTTATCGATTCTAATGGTGTTGATGTTTATTTCTTAAATCGAGATCCTATGCTTAATGTAACCGATACGCGATATGTTCGTCAAGTATTTAGCACACCTCCACAAGGTTTAACACCACTTGTACCAGCATTACGAAGAATTCTTGCAAGTAAACGTAATCAAACATATGAAAAGAAATTATTAATTCTTATTGCTACTGATGGGTATGACACAAACAAGAAAAAAAAACAAGAGTAAATGGCTTTTTTTTCTAATGTCATATTTTTTAGAGCACCAACAAATGAATATGGTCAAGCTGATGTTGGTGCATTAGAAGCTGTTTTACGTAATGAACGTACACCACAAACTTATGTTACATTTTTAGCATGTACAGATGATCTTCAAACAGTTAGTTATTTATCAAATTGGGATAAAATGATGCCTAATTTGGATGTCATGGATGATTATCGTTCAGAACGTGCTGAAGTTCAACGAACACGTGGAGGAAATTTTCCATTTTCGTTTGGTGATTATATTGTTAAATCTTTACTTGGTTCTATTGATCCTTGGTAAGTATCTTTATTTTCTAAGAATTTAATTTTTTCTGAAAATCTGTTTTTTTTTTTATCTTATAGGTTCGATTCATTGGATGATCGTGCCTAGATAATCTAAACTATATCGAAAAATTAAAGACTTTATTCTACTTCTATGTAATTAAAATATGACTAAACCTTACTTACTTGTCAAAATATTTCAAATAAAATATCTTCATATAGGAAGGAAACATTTTCTACTAATATTTACTATATAATATGGATAATCAAAGTTTATTGATGCTTGGCAAAGAGTCAAAGAATTCATTTCTTTTTGAATCATAAATAGGAAAGTTACTTTGATCAATTTTATTGTTTCTCAAATAAGCATTGAATGTATTCAGATGAATTTAAAGCGTTACAGAAATCAATAAGTGTTTCATATAATAGCGGAAGAAAATGTTAATTTTATTGAAATTGCCATTTATTTTAATCGATCTGATTTTTATGACTTTTCGAAAGCTTTAGTAATCTTTGTTTTTTAAATATTTATGTAATTTTTCAATTACACCAATTAGATATGAAGAAAATTTAGCCATGAATAAAAAAAATTCAGACTTACATGTATCAAAACTTAATATTAATTTACAAAATATTTTCCATTAAATTGTTGTGTAAATTCGATATAACTTGATGATCATGAAGTTGATCAAAGGAAGAATCTCTTATGATTTTTCATAAAGAATATCCAAGGATCATACGAGATAAAGTTTTTCTAGTGCAAAAGTAAAATAAATAAAAAATATTCGACGCAAAAAAAGAAACAATCGCAAGTAATCGAGTGCAAAATAAAATACCGTAAAATAACTCAAACGTGAATCAGTTTACCTCTTATATATCATTTCACACTATTGTGAATTCGTTACGTAAAGAAGAAATATATCTGTATGGCATTTAACTATAATTACTCGTCATAACATCAACAGAAATAAATGTTTGTATGATTCGTTTTCGAAACGATCAGAAAATGATGTGTCAATTGTTTTCAATATCATTAATATGTAAGTGCATATGTATATTCGTCAATATTTTTTAATCAGTATACTATGGTTGAAACATTTTCAATATTCAGTAATAGAAAGAAAATTATCATATCATCTAAATTTTTATCAATTCCCCACAATTATAATAGTGAAATTAAATTTTTCTTGCTCGTCTTCATGCTTATCTATTAATGAGTATGAAGTATGTATCTTGCATATTCTTTAAGGTAAACTAGTACATGCCAATTATTATTAACCCATTTTAAAAATATGCTTCGTATACTTTTGCGTCAAATAGAACATAGTACCTTTTTACTATGTAATCGTATTCTATATTCTAGAACATCAGTTTTTTTTTTACGATAAAAACAACATTTTTTTTTTTCTTTATTACATATGTCACTCATACACTATTAAGAAGTACGATATTCAATTATATAATTCTTATCAATTGACTACTGGCAACAAAGAGATATATGCCACACTTAGGAGGACTCTTTGCCCAAAGGTAAGATATTGTTAAGAAAAGAAAATATGAATAGAATTATAAATTTATACTTCTCTTTAATATAAATATAGCAAAAGTTAGAAAAATCGAGATGATTTATTGAACGAATATTTTTCTTCAATAGTTAATTGATCAATAAATCATGAATATAATGACAAAAAAAAATGATCGATGGATTGATAGAAGAATCATTTATAAATACATCATAATTTTAAATTCAAACGATTTTGATCTTTCTTCTCTTTGCCTTAGTTAAACAAAAATGATTCTCGGAACTAGAACTCTCATCTTTTCAGGATTAAAATTAAATTTTCGAACTCGAAGTCGACATATACATTCCATTTACAAAAAAAGAAAGAGATGACTGTTGTTTGATAATATCAAAACGTCTGAAATGATCTCTATACTAATGAGAAAGATTCATCGATAGTAAACAAACTCTTAAGATTGATAATAGACTCAGTTTTTATAAGAAATATCCATTATTTCGTAAATATTGTTAATTATGATAAAACTGATCTCTTCATCAGTGATTCTTATTAATATACTTCTTTTTTGCAATGTGCAAATTCGAATATTCAAAAATTTTCTTTTTTTAAAAAGTTTAATGAGTGAAAAAAAAAAGATGTTCTGCTTTGAGAATAACTAAACATCATCTTTATCATTAGAAACCAGTTTGCTATCTCTGAAATATTAACCTACTATTTTGTTTAGTCGAGTTTGAATAAATCTTTCATCTATATTCTAATTAAACATATTTTAATTATCTCACCATTCACAAGTCTCTAGTATGATTCCTTAACAATTAGTTTATACGATCTATAAAATATATTTTGATTTTTCGATTTGTATAAGTCAGATTGAATTTCTACCCTCCATAATATGAAACTTTGATTTCAGCGACTGTTACTTATGTGTACTGCAGTAATAAAATTGTTGTAATGCTTCTAAAACTACGAAAAAGCACACAATGAATACAAATTGTATATCTTAACAAGTGTATGTACTTTTTGAACTCAAATGATATCTTAATTATGTATTTGATCTCTGGCACCATCACTAGTGTTCTGTGAGAAACAAATAACCAATAGTCAAGCTTCAATATGATTATTGTTGTGTGTAGCAGAAGCCGATATAATTATTTATTCAACCGTCAAAATCCAGTCTGGAAGGTTAAGTCTTCACCAAAACATTGATTTTGTTTTGGATAAAACAAAAATTAAATTGAAGAAATCCAAATAGACTCCCCAAACTTAGGTCAACTTTAGCAAAAAAATCTGTAAATCGGCTGACTGAGTCATTTACTTTCTCCTCTCAGTTCGAGTGACCTCAGAGTATACCTACAAATATAGAACGAATTTCTTATCAATTTCTGTTTGTTTGAATATAGATGAGCCTGACATTCGTCCAAGATATATTGCGACATCTATTATTTGAGCGTTCTGTACATTGAACTTTTTAATCAATGCCTGCAAAAAATGGTTTGTTTTACATTGAAAATTTTCGAAATTGTAAATATACTATCTTACAAGTAAATACCGATCAATAATTTATTGGTAACTAACCCCCTCTGTATTAACATCTGATTGACTAACGTTTCTATTTAATAAAAATTAGACGAATATATATCTAAAGACTAAAATAATAATAATAATAATAATAAGTTAATTATTCGTGAAGAAAGGCAAAATATATATTAATCATGATCATCTATAGTAAATAATGATAAAAAAATTAATCAAAACCTGTTTACCTATTTTAATGATGTATATATCCAAAGAACAATATGAACCTCTTATTCCTTCATCATCTATTAATAATCTAAATGAATATTCAAACGATTTTCTTCGAACTTCAAATCCACGTCGATTAATTAAATTGAGTTAAGTTTTATTGGATTTATCTTTATATCAATGAATAGTGAATCACTTAGAGCACTGTTTATCCGAGTACAAATTTTATTACTTTACAAAAAAGCAACCATATTTCGAAGACGAAGGTGTTTTATAGTTTCGACTTTTTTCAAATTTAATTTTTCATTAAACTAATTGGTTATTCTTTTTTTTTCTCTTTAGGCGACGCACAGTCATTTTGATAATTGCTACTATTTCATTTCTTGTTGTATCTGGTGTTATCTTCGGTCTTGTTTATGGTTTGAAAAAACGTAAGAAAACATTCACTTGATTAATAATTTTCATTTAACATTTTTATGAAATCATGTATTAAATAAAAGTCTACCAGGTTTATTATCGATAACTCCAATGAATCATTGAGCATTAAGAAATAAATCTATGGTAGTATGTCAGCAGAATTCGAATTAAATTTGACTTAATGAACATCTATTTATTATTTATTTATAGAATTTAAAAAATCGATTTCCTAACGTAAATCTTGAAAACAGACACTATTCTTTTCATTTACATATAGTGATACTATAAATTGATCGTGTGCTTGATATCAAACTAGAAGATAATTTCTACAATAAAATAACAACAACGTATCTTATTCAACTAATACTCTTCGAGTTCATTCGATCATACACTGATCAATCAAGAACATCGAACTAGTAAAACCGCTAAACATGTATACCAACTGTTGATGCTTTCTTCAAAAGCTACGGAGGTTTTTGTAGTTTTCGCAGCTAAACAGCATGATCTACTATGCACCCAAAAAGTTTCAGTTCTCTAATCCATTCCTTTCTCGAGTTATGATACTTTGTATTTGAAATAAAAACGCTTTAGTAAATCTGTGGTGTAATGGATTTTTTTATTTTTCTCATATTTCTTCTTTTTCATTACAGACACAGAACGAGTATACAACAGGTGAAATGATAGTTTTGACACATAATAATGGTGTATTTTTGGCTCCCTTGACAGTATTTTCTAGGAGTCAAAAGCTATGGATTAGGACCAGCATATTGTGTACTTTCCTAGTATAGGCTTGGAAATTTTATCTTATTTTTTGTTCGAAAGTAGTAAGATAATCTTGGAAAGGGCTGAAAAATGAGATTGAACGGAAAGTAGAAGCTAAAATTTCTGGTGCCAATAATTGCACATTTTGATTTGCTTGAGAGTATCTCAGACAAACCAAAAAAAATCTGAATGATGATCAAAATTTTGTGCTCTCTTTGAACACAGGATTAGAAACATTGTGTCTGTTTTTGTTTGAGATTAGTGAAAGAATTTTTTAAAGGTCCAACAAATTAGATTCAATGGCAAACTAATAAGCTTTCGCTAATCACTGTAAGTTATTTTTCGAAGATGCCAAAAATGATTAGAGTTGATTGCTTTGTCGAGCGGATACTTCTTCACAAAATTCTATATTGAACTAAGCATTGACTTTTATCTAAGTGAAACTATATGTAGAGTAGCTTCTGCTCTATAGGCAGATATATTAATAAACATGTCAATATTTACGTACGGAAAAATTTTTCATTCAAATTATTATCTAGACTTTTCAAAAAGTTTTCTCATTAATCTCATGAAAATTTCTACGTCTATATTCGTAAAGAGCACAAAATTGTGGTCATAGTCCAAAGCTTTTGATTCCTCGGAAACATTTTCGAGATAGTCAAAAATAAGCCAACATTTTGTCTAGAAACTTTCGACCCATCCATTAGAAGAGTTTTAGTACAACCAATGAAAAAAATTAAACTCTGTACGATTTTTCTATAAAAAAATTTGAATTTTCCCATTGGCACTATTCTTCTTGTTGAGAAAACTAAAAAAGCCTCCGTAACTTTTGAAAGAAACATTTTAACAGGTCATATCCTTTTTAAATTTCTACTAGCTCGATCCACTGTGTCAATTGACGCATAAACGAACGAAATCGAAGAGTATCACTTGAATATATTTACTCGTTATATTTATAATTTCAATAGAAAAAAATCATTGTGTTTATTAAATAAAATAATATAAGTCGTTTTAATTTAATAAATATTTCCTTTTTATTTCTAGCTTTTCCTGAGACAAATGCTGAAGCCTGTGGCGCTAGCCATGAAACTTACGTTATAAATGGTACATCAATATTAGGCAAATATTCTCGAGCAGCTGTCGCTGTTGATAATGTTGAATGTTCAAAAATTGGACGCCAAATATTAGAAAAAAATGGTACAACTATGGATGCTGCTTTAGCTGCAGCTATTTGTAATGGTGTTATGAGTGGACATTCAATGGGTATTGGTGGTGGATGTACTATCTTAATTTATTCTAAGTAAAATTAAAATTTATTTTTTATTTATTTTTTTTTCTTCTGATTTATAGGAAGAGAAATAAAGCTTATAGTCTTATTGGAGTATGTTTGAAAAAAAAAGAAATCTTCATTTGATAATTAGTATTTTTAGAGAGAACGAGCACCATCAGCTGCAAATGCAACGATGTTCATCGGTCGAGAAAATATGTCTATGACTGGTAAGAATTTAATTGAAGACAAGTGTTTTTTTTTTTTCGTGTGTTAATTAATAATTTTTCTTTTTTTTCATAGGTGGTTTAGCTATTGCCGTTCCAGGTGAACTACGAACTTATAAAAAAGCTTATGATGAATTTGGTGGAGGTGTTCCATGGCGTGATCTTTTTCAACCGACGATTGAATTATGTCGGCACGGTTTTGTTGTTAGCCCATCACAAGCTGCTGCTATTAAACAAACAAGATCTGATATTTTAAATGATCCTACGCTGAGGTTATTTTTAAATTATTTCTTAAAATGAATTTATTTTTTAATTTTAGAGAGCTTTTTGTAAAAAATAATAAAACAAATGAATTATATACAGCAGGAGATATTATGAAACGACCTAAATATGCTGCAACACTTGAAATCATTGCTGAACAAGGTGTTGAGGCTTTTTATACAGGTGTATTAGCTGATAAAATTGTTAAAGAAATTCAAGATCATGGTGGTATTATTACAAAACAAGATCTTGCTGATTATCAGGTCGATTTCGATGAAGCATTACGTGTTAATCTTAATGATTCATTAACTGCATTTACAACAAAGGCACCATCAAGTGGGCCGATACTTATTTTTATTTTAAATATTCTTCGAGGTATTAAATCTTCTTTTTTTTGTCAAACTTTTAAAAAATGTCTTGTTCTATTCGTTAGGATATAATATACTCGAAAGGGATCTAAAAAAAACATCAACTTCGGCATTATTTTATCATCGTCTTATTGAAGCATTTAAATTTGCTTATGCTAAACGAAGTGAACTTGGTGATCCATCAAAAATAAATGTCACCGGTGTATGTACAAAATTAAATTATTTTCTCAAAAATATTGTTATATATATATATGATCTTTTAGCTTATTCGTAATTTAACATCCAAAGACTATGCTGATAGTATACGAGCACGCATTGAGTATGTATATCAAATTTAGCGTCATTAAGAGAGAGAGTAATATAATTATCATGTCTATTTTTCGAATAACTTTTGCTAGGAAGAATGTAGAAATCTTCAGTTTTCATCGTTCAAAAGAGGACGTAGGAAAGGTCCTGGAATCATATTAAATTTGATTGATTTAGCAATTGGCTCATCAAGTGAAATCGATTAGATTTTTTTCAGGATTTTCTCAAAAACTCAATTATTCTGTGATACGTCAAGCTGAGATCTGTCTCGCTTTGTACATGGACTAAAAAGATTTTTCTGATACCTCTGACTTTGGTCAATTGGCTTGAGATCAACGGGATGTTGATGTGGAGAGAAGTAATTTATCATACGGAGTCTGATAGTGATGATTGTTTTTGCTTTCAAAGTGATTCGGAAATACTATCGAGGGTTTTCAGTGTATATTGCATAAATAGCTGGAATTATTGAAGTTTTGATAAACTAATTTCATATCACTTTTAAACCAAAAATAAGCATCACTAGTAGAGTCAGCGTGCTAAATCACACCTCTTCTAACCGATTTCTTGTTGATACCAGGTTAATTGGCCGAAATCAGGGATCTCAGAAAATTCTTTATAAACCGTGAACGAAGCCAGATAAGGATATCTGCTTTGGATATATCGAACGGTTATATCAATACCAAAAATCAAATGAACAATGCACTCAGAATATTCCTTCATACAACATCTATCAAGACTTTACTTGATTGATCAAAAGCTAAAGCAATCAGATTTATCATGATTCTATGCTCCTATGATGTCCTTCTTTAGCATGATGAAAACCGCAAATTTCTATCGTCTTCCCTAACGAAAGTTATTCGAAAAATAAGCATGGATTTTAGTTTGGTTAACAAATATTTGTTTTATTTTCTTTGAATTTAGTGATCATAAAACATTCGGTTTTGAATATTATGGAGGAACATGGCTTGATAAGCTCAAAACAGGTACAGCTCATTTATCTGTTGTCGGACTTGATGGTGATGCTGTTGCATTGACATCAACTGTTAATCTCTAGTATGAATAATTTTTCTTTTTAATATCAATTAAAACATGATTTTTATTTAGTTATGGTTCAAAAGTTCTTGGCCCTGAAACAGGCATTATTTACAATGATGAAATGGATGACTTTTCAACTCCAAATACAATAAATTATTTTGGTGTTCCAGCTAGTCCAGCTAATTTTATAGCACCTGGAAAACGACCTGTTTCATCGATGTCACCATTAATTCTATTAGAAAATGGTAATCAACGTGTACAACAAGTTTTAGGTGCTAGTGGTGGTACTAAAATAACCACAAGTGTTGCTCAAGTTGCAATGCTTAATTTATGGTTTAATGAAAATATAAAGGAAGCTATTGATGCGCCAAGACTTCATTCACAACTATTACCACAAGAAGTTGTGGCCGAACACGGTTTTGATTATGTAAGAATTTTTAATTTTGAAAAAATTTTTTTCTTGTTTCGATAGATGGATTATTATACAAATAGAGTTTGTCTCAATTTGTTAATTAAAATCCTGCTATTATTAGAATTAGATTTATATCTTGTTCTTTTTATTTTATTTTAGAATATCTTACAACAACTTAAACGACGTGGTCATAATATAACATGCAGTGCATATGGTGGTTCTGTTATACAAGGTATTGAATGGCGTGATGAGGTTAATCAATATTGGGCCAACTGTGATATACGTAAAGGTGGTGCACCGGATGGAATTTCTTAAAAAAAATTGTTTTTGATTTTTTAAATTTTTTTGTTCTATTTTACGTACGATATTTAAGCAAACATTGATATATTATTTTGTCTTTTTTCATGTACATATACAGTGTTTTTTTTTTACAAAGTTAATGTTGTTTCTAAAAAATTAAATAATCCGAGAATACACGAAATTAATAATAAAATCGATCGCAGTATTTCGAAATGAATATGTTACTACGAGTAGATAAAAGACAATTAAATTTAATATAGAAAAATTAATTTCTTTCGGAATCGTCAACTTTAGAATCATTATAATAGCTTGATAGAAATACTGACAAGAATTCAAAATGTAATTTCAATTTTTATTAATCAGAAAGAAAGTTTACTAATACATTTTGAACATAATATTACTTATGCAGTTTAGTGTTCCGCTTATAAATAGCTGACTCGCTTGAGTAATAATTTATATTCACTTCTTGTTTACCTATGTTCTTATTTACTGACGTTGAATACTTCTTCGATTTATTTGCTATGGTACTGTCTAATCTCTTCCTAATAAATTTTACTACTCTATACTTGAATATCTATTATCAATGTAGTCTGTTTTGTGCGCTGATTAACAGAAATATATATATATTTTTTTTTACAATAAAGACGCTAATCTCGTCAAAATGGTTCCTTGATATTGAAAGATAAAAAAACAACAAAGATGTTGAGCATAACATTTATCTATTCTTTTAATATTCTTATTTCATATTATTTAGTTCTAACTGATTCATTATTTTAGAAACATCTCTACACTTTTCTTCTTCCAATTCAATTGAAACATTCAATATTTTATTTCAGCACGTCTTCAGCCAAATAAAAGAACAATTTCATGGTGTTCTTTTGTTTTAGTCATGCATGTGTATCCAATCTTTTTCTTCCTTGACAAAATAAAAAAAAAACAATCACAATAAATAATTAAACAATTATGACTATACATATTTAAAATATACTGTTTGAGATTAAATAGCTGTTTATAGAAGTATTATCAGTTTTGACATTCCTTGCCCGAAAGAAATCCGTTGAAATAAATAAGTAGCTGAATATTTTGTGGAACTCATATTTATTCACAGCAACCGAAAGGAGAAGGCGTATCATTAGTAATAGTACCTAGATCATTCTGAGACTTCGTAGCATTTTCAAAATATTCTACGAATCTAACATTTCTAGTGCAGATTCTAACTAGTCTAAGTATTGCGGGCTTTGTTGTTTAATGCAGCGAAATTATTTTGTTGTAGATGTCAATCAGTAGGGCAGTGGTATTATTGATTTAGCAAAGTCAGAACAGGACGTACATTGAAAAGTATGAACTAATTGAGTTCTAAATTTAGATAAAACTCAACAATATATAGTAGGGTTCGTCAAGACAAAGGACAATGTGCTCGAGAGCTTACTGAACAATTACATCGATGCTTGTAGCAAGCTAATAAGGTGATTGAATCGACGAAATGAAGAATAAAATGAAGCTTATCGCTTTCTATGGCATCTATCATATATATATATATTATCATTATGAAAAAATAAGTTTTCTATTGAAGATATACCTTACAATACAAATAAGATTTTTCAGTATAGCAATGTTAAATAAATCAAATAAATTGAAAGAATAGTAATTCGAGACGCAAGGGTATGGGCGTATTTGGAACCAAGATCCGCAAATTATTAACGGGTTTGAATATGAAAACTTGCACTTATCAACAAATAATTGTCATTTCAGTTCTCGAATTTGTTTTCAAAAACACATTTTTCGTTAGCTCTTAAAATTTTGACGAAGATCATCATCGATATTGGACATGGAACTGAATACCAAAAAAGTTTTTATCACGGCATTTATTCATAAACGTGTTCCACTACAACTTCCTCATTTCCATGTCATCGAATTTTTGCGTAAAAATGTGCCGTTTTATCGCGATTTTTCAGAGACAGCATTGGTCCATACATAGCACTACGATAAAAAAGCGAAATATCTCCGTAATAGTTCACTCCAAACTTTTTCCATGCGGATAAGGTAAGCAAATACAACTGTTAAGCATTATTATTGGTATCATGAAAGCAATTTTATCTGTTATCAAGTGAAAAAAAAAGTACATGTGTAGAGTTTCACAGACATCTTCAGTTATAATCTTCGAAAATAATAAGAACAAGAAAAAACGAACTTTATGAATAATTCCGTATTGATGCACATAGAGCAGATTTTTTAAACAAGCTAGTTTAAAAGTCAATCGTTACAAACTTTCGAATTTTCAAATATGAAAAACTGTTTTTTTTTTTGCAAGAAATTTGGTGTTTTAGTACTCAAAGGACTGCGATTTTGTGTTTTATGTATGGGACACTAATATCAGCATTTAAACGGACTATTTTTAAAAGCTTGCTCTGTGTACATCGATACAGAATCATTCATAAAGTTCGTTTTTACTTGTTCTTATTATCCTCTTAGATGACAGCTAAAAATTGTCTATGAAACTCTGCACATGTATTTTTTCACTTGATAACAGGTAAAATTGTTTCCATGATGTCAAAAATAATACTTAACAGTAGTATTTGGTTATCTTATTTGTATAGAAAATGCTTTGAATGAACTTCTAGCATTAAACAAAAAACAACCCATTTGATTGAATCAATGTGAAGATATTTCAATTTTTTTTTCGTAGTGCTATTTATGTACTACCTTGAAATATTTCCAATGATCCAATCTGGTCGTAGTATTTGGGTCTACAACTATGGGTACGTCTCGGCGTATATACTATCGTTGTTTACTGTGATGTATTGACAATAGTCATTATTGTTGTTACATTTCATTTTGTTTTCTTTCTATTCTTTGATTTCATAGAATGAGTCATCACTATTTATATATTTGTCTTTTCTTAAAAAGATGACAACTCTTGTTATGTTTCGTTTCATCTAACTTCTTATTTTACTTCTGTTCTTCGAGTCAATAAAACAAGTTATGGACCTTGACCTTTATTGTATTATGCAATTGATAATACATCGTAATTTGACTTTTACGTATTAACGTCAATACGTGACATTACCATCGTGTCCACGCATGTTACTTGTGAATAAGAGGAAGGTTGATTTCTTTCCCACATCCACAATAACTATTACAAAAAAGTTGTTTTTAAATAAAATAACATTTATTATTTACTTTGACGATCGGATAATCTAAATAGAAGAAAAGAAAATTTATTTTTATATAATACTTATTGTTAAAGTTTGTTCCAAAATTGCTAATGTTTTTCAAGTATCGTGATTAATTGCCAAAACTAACGCAATTATGATGACATTGATTGTCACATTTTTGAAAAATAAGATATGAAAAAGTTCGACGTTGGCTTGAGTATTTATTTTATAAATTTTATCCAATCTATCATTTTCACTGATTTTTATGATAAATCATAGTCTTATGATTAATTATTATCGTTTATTATATGGATATCAGAAGTGGCATTGTTTATGTTATCTCGATTTCTGCTATTCTACCGCCAAGTTCCTATTGTTAATTTATGTTTATGAATATTTTTATTAAAAAATTGAGTATTTACCTTATTCTACATGAATGAAGCATGTAATAAAAAATAAAAAAAAAACAGTGTAGCATGTAGTTTTTCATAGTGAAATGAGAACAGAATCGAAAACGAAAAACTAGTAAAAAAGAAGTCGTATGTGCGAACTGATGGTTTTAATTCATATTTTTCTCTGAAATCACTTCACACATAGTTGTTTTAAAAAAAAAAACAAAATATCTAAAACGGAGAATGGAATATAAATTCTTGAGAAATAAAGGCAAGATTTTCAACCTTAATGTAATCTAGAGTTGGCGGACTCATCTAAAACTGAGCCTAGAATAGAAAAGTTCCGATTGAAAAATTTTTTGATCTGAAAATATATCTGAAATTATATATACAATCACAAACACCTTTTGAAATAAATAAATGTGAATGCGAAGTTCAGTTCGATTGTTTTTTAAAGTTGCCCAATCTTTTTAATATCCCAAGAGTGACATCCATGCTGAAACAAAAATTTTCTTTTAGTTTAGAGTATCTATGATTATAGTTAAAAAAATACAAAAATTATATTCATCTCTCAAGTTAACAAATTTCGAAAATTTCTCGAAGTAATTTTCATTTCATAATGAGTTTTTTGAAATCAGTGATTGAATATAATTTATCGCTCTGATTTATTGTTATTTTTCGAAAAAATCGTTTCTTGTGTCATAATTACAATAAAATCTGATTTAATCATTGATTTTTTCACAAAATCCAATTACTCACGATTTTACAGCGTTTTTTTTTTAATCATTAATATTATCACGACGTTCATGATATGGAGGTTAATATTTTAATGTGTTTTTGTACTTTTACATTTCCAATCGTTGTTCTTCAACCATTAGTATGTATTTATTCGTTGCCCTTGATCATATACACTCATGTGGGTGATAATTGACCGTGTCAATGAAAGACATGACTAAAAGCAATAGCTATGCACCATTACTGCTGTCACACTTCATTGGGTAGTAGTGCGCATCTATTCTATAAAAGCATATACATGTTTTCACAAGTCACGCACGAATACCATGTGGTAATACTGAAGGACGGAAAAATTTTAAAAAAACTTGCATTAAAATGATGAAACAGACCTAAAAATTGATGTGTTTCAGATTCATTCATTAACATGAACATTTTCATGAATTTAATTCTATACTTTTGATAGAAATTCATTTTCATTCCATTTTCACGACTAAAACGTTCATTTTAATCAATGAAATTGAAATACATCAATTTTTATGTTTATTTCATTATTTGAAATGCAATTGTTTTTCATTTTTTTAATTCCATGGGTACTCGAGTAATAGACAAGTGAGAAAGAGTGCGTTGATAACGAGAATTTCAAAATAAACAGCCTCGCCCCCCGAGGATTACTTCTTTTTTGTTTTATTTAGATCCTTCAATTTGAGTGTTTCTTCGCAACCTGCATGGTGAA